CGTTTATCAATATAAAGTTTTATTTACGATGCTCTCTCCGGCGCTTCGCTTTAAAGATATTTCATTAAAATGTTGGGCTCCTTTTTTTGTGGGCTTTTTGGTAATTCCCGGGGATTTCGCGTTATGGAGCAGCGCATATAAAATTTTATATTACTGGGCTGTCTGTCTGTGTGTGTGTGTGTGTGTGTGTGTGGATGAAGCACAAAGCGTGAAATATGATTGTGGTGCGCTGCAGGTGAGGCAGTGGTTGGCATGGGTTTGCGTATGGCAGAAGATAAAGTGGGGAAGAGAAAATGCTAAATGTTCGATGCACTAAAAGCAAACTTGCTAAAAGTGTGTTGATTGGTTTGTAAAATTGTTTAAATGTATGCTTATCCATGTAATAATGTTGAATAAATTCGATTGTAGTCGCTAAAATATTCTTAAAAATTATGAAAATATATACAAGTATCTGCACATGCAAATTCTCTCCTTTCTATACCTTTCTGCTTGCTCAAAACTTTCCAAACTCATTCAACATTACCCTCTACAGCGCATCCGTGAACCACCCTAGCCTACGCTCTCAGACCGTACCTTTATTACGCTGGCCCCAAACATCATTTCACGCTAACGTAAGCGCAAATTTTGTACCTAAGTCGTGGCCAGATTCTTTCACAGACAATATGCCTGAACCCCCCCGTGAGTCCCTGAGCCACATCTCAAGTAGGTAAACAAGTGTAGCTTACAAAAAATGGGCAATCAACTGCCAAATGGCCCCACCTGTCCTGCCCAGAAAGCCAGCGATGCAGCAAACATCCTTCGACTTCCACTTCCACTTCCACTTCCACTCCTTCTTCTTGTTGTTGTTGCCTTTTTAATACTTTTTATGATTACAACAGTCGGTAAGTGTCTGCTTAGTTGTGGAGGCATTCCGGGGGAGCTCTGTAAATACATAATAACTTCTCGGGTAAGCAGACAGCAAACGAAGAAACAACAACAACCCTCCTTAATGAAACACTGCGCCCCCCTCCACGCTACATAAATGTGTATCCCTTTTGCCACTTATGTTTTCGTAAGTTTATACTAAACAACCACCCAAGCAAAACACAACAAAGGAGCAAAAATCAAGAACAACACACAAAAATATCATAACAACCCCACGGAATTGGAATGGTTGGCAGAATTACGCATAGTAGAGGTATTCCTGGGCTAGTTTTTGGTTTGATTTGGCTAGAAATATTATACTTTTGAAGCTGCAACAAAGCTAAGTAAAAATTGCATTTAAATTGTTTCATTTTTGCATATTTTAGAGCACTTGAAAGTTGCCAGAAATAATTTCGTTGTTAACAGCGGCTGCCGCTGGCTCTGCAAACAGCTCTGTTAAGCAGCTGATTACTTAACAGCTTGGTTACAGTTACATTAAAGAACAATTGCTTAAGATTTTCTTCCTCTCTTTTTCCTGTTAATCTTTTAATTTTTCCTCCACACAAGAATACCCCAACTATTCAGTAACCGTCGCGTGCTGAACCCCTGCCAATCCTGCCCGACTTGCTCTTCTGATAGTCTTTTCGTGTTACTGTTTAATTGTTAACATTTCATTTAAGCCATGCACACACATAAACACACGCACACACATTCGCTTTGTGTTTGTGCTGAAAGAGATGGCATTGCTGGAGGTGATGGTGGGGGGAGAAATTCATTTATCAAAACGCTGCCCGCATTTCCGCGATGAAACCCCTCAGGATAAAACTGACTGGCGCCAGCAGAAACAGAAGAGAGGCAGAGGTTAAACCCGAAATCTAAATCGTTATATGCAGACAAACACACAGGCAAACACGCATGGACATGCAAAATGGAGTATGGGGAGCTCCGCAGTTCATTGCTCACGAACAACAGTGGGATGAAGGTACGGGAAAATTCCTAGAAATTACCAAGAAAACTTCAGATGGAACGTAACATCGGAGAGTAACAGCGATCGTCTACAGCTCACTGTTAGCGCTCTCCAATAACAGCCTGTGGTCGCTGGCGTCACTGTTAAAGCACTCTGCCAGCGCCGTGAGAGCGATCGCGTTCGCTCTCTCGAGCAGCCGAAGCTTGAAAGCTAAAACCGAGTGAAGAGAATGGCGCGAATATGTATTAAACAGTGAAGTATCTCTCTGCACTTCGACTTATATTCCTCTTTTGAATTATTTAAAACTGGAATAACAATTTTTTCACGCCTTTGTTCACTGTGCCGTGTGCCCGTGTCTCCTTCCTTTCCATGACGTTTGCGTATGTCAAAGTTATCTAAATGAAAAATTGACTTTCATACAGAGCATAGAGAATGAGAGTGGCAGTGGCAGTGGCGTCGGCAGTCGGGGTTTTGGTTTAGCGGGGAAATTGTGGCAGGGGGAGTGGGAAAAATCATCATCGTTCGTTTGCGCATCGCTTTCAGTTGGAGTTTCCGTTCTGTAGGATTTCGCATTTACGCATTTCCTATTTTAGATGATATTTCATACTTTTTTGCTGACAGCAGCAGCGGCGGCATCAGTGGCAGTGGCAGTGGCAGCGGCAGTGGTGACGGGGGAGGTTAAACTGAAAGTGGAGCCGTATGGCAGGAGCCTCCACCGCTGATGATGATGTGCGTTTATTATTGTTGCTTTATGGCTTTGCATAGATGTGTGGGTAGAGGGAGGCAGGAGGATGTGCGTACAAATCTTTCACTGACATATCACTCCCACTCCAGCTCTCACTTCGCTGCTCGCGCTCCCACTCCGTCGCAGCTCACTCCGCTGCTCTCTCTCCCACTGCGCTGCTCACTCCCACTCTTCCGCTACTCTCTTTTTAACTCCGTTGCTTTCGCTCCCACCCCACTTTCTGCTAGTCTCTCTTCCCCATTTGCCTTTGGGATTATCAACTCATTGTGTCCCTGTGTATGTGTGTGTGTGTGTGTGCTTAGAACGTTTTCCCCCCTTTTTGGGCTTGACTCCCGTTTTACCCGCTGGACTTTTGCCGGCATTTGCCAATTTCGCTTGCAGAGCAAATAGATCGCAGCCTGAAATTGATGCGCTGCAATTGGGTTAATTGTCAAATGTTCATTACTGATGGCGAAAGGGGATTTTTGTGGTGGAATTCAAAGCTAATATTTCTTGAGACATGTGAGGGGAGTTTGCAGATTAATCAGCAAAAAATGAGTGGCGGAAGGGCGGAAAATGTGGCAAAGGAATGACCTTCTTTGGGAAATTATTCAAATATATGAGCAACATTTATTGCCATTTATTTATTTATAAACTTTCAATCATTTCTTTATTTATTTCACTCTCAAACTTAATTCCCCTTAATGTGAAATGTACGCCCTTCAAGCACTTTTCAATGGAATTTGCTTGAGCAATTTTAAACTTAACGGCGCCTACGTGTCTGGCCATAACAAGCCATGAGCCAGAACACACTCACAATACACACCCACTATAGTTGTCCCGCTCTGGCACAATGCACAGCCCAAAAGTATGCTGCAAAATTGTTGCAACATCAATCATAGCACGCAGCCGCACGTGGGGCCAAGTAAAACAAACCAGGACTGCCTCCCATCCCACACGAAGTGTGTGCCAATAAATTGTGTGGAGGCAAGAAGAATAAAATAAATTGAAAAACACTTTGATGCCATCAATAAACGCTGACAAAGCCAATGGCAGAGGCCAGCTGAGGCCAGAAGTGGAGCTCATGACATTTCCGTGAACTAATGTTGATATTGGGGTGGGGCCACGACCCACGACCCACGACCCACGACCCGACAGCAACAGCGACATTGACTTCAACTTGAACGACTGGAAGCACACAAACAACTCAAACAGACACAAAATATATAAAAACTGCATTCTGGCAATGGAATTTCGCAACCGTAGAAGCCCCGTCTGCTGGCCTGTCCCGGCCTGGCCGCCTTTTTTTCTTGGCAGCTGCTGCTTTTGTCTTTTCGCTGTGGCGTTGCTGGAGGGTATGGCAAAAGGGTATAGCGATTTTGGGGCCAAGCTTGGCAGTGTTAAGGGAAGGGAATATATATTTTTCCATCATCCAAAGCGGCAGCACTCCTTCTTTCTCTTGAGTTGTCCTCCTCCTTGTATGGCTTTAAATTAGAACACATTTCTGTGATTGCTATTTGTGGGGCGGGGAAGAGGGTGCTGCAGTGCTCGTCATAAAGTGCGACAGCGCCACTTTGTTCAATAGTTTTGTTGTTGTCTACTCGGCAATATGCCAGCACGAGCAGCTGTGCGCCTACGAATCGGGCGGGTTGCCCCTTTGTTTTTCCAATGTTTTCTTGTGTGCTTCTGTTTCTGTTGTTGTTTGCTGCTGGCAAGGATATTGGGTTGAGCCCTTTTCTGGTGTTTGGCCTATTTCGCAGCCACAGTCGAGCCAAAAGGCGGGGAGCTGGCAACAAATGTCATCGAGATATGTGAGTGGGTTAGGCCCGAGACTTCAAGCTGACTTTTGGTTTTTGTCTTTAGCAAATATTTCCCCCAACAAGTGTGTTTAATGTGTAAGCGGAAGGAACCCTTTTTGGTCTTTTTTCAATTTAGTTTTTGGTATACGACACTTTTTAATAGGCTTCACAGATTGTTTTTGGGTAAATATAATAAATAAGATCAAATGTGTTGAGGGAGGAACTGGAACCCCAGAAGGAACCTCTTTTCAGCCAGGATTTGTTGGGGAAAAGGGTTATAAATATGTGCTTGAAGATCGACTCCATGTAGCCCGTTTTCTGCTCTGTTTATGATGTATAGTTTCCTATAGTTTTTCAGATATTTATGCCCCTCCGAAACTTTTAAAAATTCCAACCAAAAACCCGCAACAACTTCCCACGCATCCTTTGACTGGTACTAGGACTAGAACCCCCATTTAACCCCGCTCAAAAACTGATCTAGTCCCAACACAGTTTCGGTTTTAGCCAAAAAGCGAACTTTGCACTTTTACTTGTATTAAATATTTACGACAACGCTTCAGTCAGCGCAGAGACAAGAGCCAGCAAAGATGAGAAATAAAGTGGGAAGGGAAGTGGAAGTGGAAAATCAGACTCCAGAGGCAAAGTGAAATCCAAGCTAAATGGAATTCACTTAGCCATGGCAGATGATGATGACAGCAACGTTGCTGCTGAGCTGCTCTCTCTCTCTCTCTCTCTCTCTCTCTCTCTCTGCCATCCTGCTCTACCGACGTGAGCGAGCGCCTGTGCCACGCTGCTCTATCGACGCGTTCGCCGTGACTCGCCCTGCTTGAGTATCTGCTGCAGGCGTCGCCTTTCCGCGGCACTAAGAACCTGAGAACAAACGGCAAGCAGTAGCTGGGAGTATCCACTCCTCGTAACTGTGATATTTTACCTGCTCGAGGGTCTCCAGCGTTGAGTTGATTTCCTGCTTCGAGTGCAATGGCAGCCAGAGCGTGGTTATGGCAAAGGTTCTGTTTAAGAGAGAGATTTCTTTGAATTGCTAAGTGGATTTTGGTTTCTTTCTGGCTCTCTCTCACCTGTGCACCCTCATGGCATCGATGGCGCAGCTTTGCATCTCCTCGTGCTTGGCCATTTCGAGGCGGAAACGTTCGTTGTATCTCCGGAATGCTGCCATATAACGCTGACGACAAACATCGGCGCTGGGAAATTGTAAAATGTTTGCCATTAAATCAACAGGAAATTGCAATTTTCACACAATTTGAGTACTGATTTGAGTTCGCTGCTCACTTACTAGGTTAGCTCCTTCTCGTCCGGCGGAGGGCGTTGCCCGAAGCCAACGCGCCTGGCCAGCAGCACTCGATACCATTGCTTCTGCAGCGCATTCATTGGCCGCTTGAAGGGATTCTCCGCAGCCGCATTGTTGTTGACTCGCCGCTTATCCATTTGCCGTTACAGTTTTTTGTTCACTGCTTGCTCACCGCTGGGCATTCGCTCTCAAAACTGACTGACTGAAGAGCACACGGATAGAGTGCAGCTGGGATTTGTTTGGTTGCGGCGGTTGGCAGGGGGAGTTTATCGAACCAACAAGCCAACAATGGCTTACGGGGGATACAGCCAAGTGGTTGCCACAGACATCAGCAGCTGTTGCACATGCGAATTGTGTGCTCTTCCTCCTGCTGCTCCTCCACCACCACCTTCTGGGCATTTGAAATGAAGTTGTCTGGCTGTGATTTGCCAGCGAGTGAGCGAGTCAACTTCGAATGTGGGTTAAAGTGTAGAGAATGACTGCAATGCCGGGCTATGGTTTTCGTTGAGTGGAATTCCCGCTCAGTTGATTAAAGTGTAGGAAAAGTGAAGAGTTTCAATGCTAAAAGCTGCTAAAAGCAGCGCTGTTAGCAGACCAATGTTAACAGCCGGCTGCAGCTCTTGCTAACAGCGCACTGTTAAGCTCGCTCTCTCGCTGTCGATCCGCACGCTCTCTCTTGCTTGGAAGGCAGCGCTGCACTGCTTCACTGCTTAAAAGAGAGTTATGTATGTATGTGAGCTTTCAACTGCTTTGATATTTGTGCTTAAGTTCGCCTGCTCCTTCCTATGGAATGCCCACAAAAAGCACACACACAAAACCATTAAATATATCTGCAAAATTTCAAGCTGTCATGATGGGCTCATGTCGGGGCACATTATTAAGCCACGCCAAACTGAGTCACCGCAGAACAAATGCAAAAACCGCACCCATAAAATCCACACAAAACGCGGGCACCCCCAGTTCCGCCCATTTCTCATGCCAACCCAGATACGACAATGTCTATACATCATACGAGCCTGCAGCCCCAGGGAACTTCTAGAACTCCTAATCCAAAGCGGAAAGGGAAAGGGAAAACATCCTTCCGCAACGCTGAGAAAGTAGTTTCCATTTCCCGCTCGGCCAGGCAGAGGCAGCAGCGAAAAGCAGTGGGCAAAGCAGTGGAGTAAGCAGTGGCAGCATAAGGGGAAAAAAATACATGGAAAATTGTCTTACATTAATTTAAATTAATAACATATTTTGCGTTCAGAATTTGCTTGTTCCCCCGTGCAATCCATGGAATGTTGTTGCTATGCAGGAGCGAGGTTGGGCTGCCCAAAGCCCTCACCATTTCATTGTTAATGAGCTTTTAATATGAGTAAATTTGCAATGGAATTTGGATTTTGTTGCTGAAGTGGGCTCGCTGGAATGTCTTGCCTTTGGCATGCCACTGCACGGACATCCCCACTCGTGCGCGTCCTCCTTTAATCAAGTGCCAAGGGCCGGCAACGAAATTGAGTTAAGTTGAGCTCCAAATGGGGAAGGGGTTGGGCTCCCTCTCGAGCGGGTTAAAGTGCACTTGCAGGAGAGAGAAAAAAGAAACTGCACAACATCAATTTGGTGCTCGAGGCCGTTCCGTTTGCGGTCAAGTTTTCGCCCCGTTTCCAAGCAGCAGCCCCGCCGCAATTTATCGAGTGTATTGAGTTGGTCTACGTGCTGCACATAAACCGCACTTATCTGGCTGACTGACTAACTGACTGAAGGATCCCGATAGATGTGCACACCCCAAAACCCGCAGCTGCCCGACAGCAGCCAGCCCACTGCTTCCCACTGCTTCCTGGCACTGCAAACCGTTAGCTGGCGGGAGGGGAGGCTGAGCGGCAGCCAAGAAAAATTGCATGCGGTTAGAGAAGCAAGCAGTAAAATTAATGTGTCTGTCCCGGCTAAGAGTTGCCCCGCAGGCCAGCAGATCCCGGAACCATGTGTGGTGGGGAGCATCCTTCTTAAGCAAATATACGGAGCAAGGAGATGGAACGTGGCATATCAAAATGATGTATGTCTGTTGGATTTGTTATAAATTTTATTTGCCCTTGCTTGAAGCGCTTTCTTTTTGGATCGATGTGAAATCCAATGCCGACGCAGTCAATTATTAAGCGGTTGATGGATGGCGCCTGAGTACAGTGCGTTTCGGCACAATGTTTTGATGTGGGACATTGCTGATAAAGGGTTCAAGTGGATAAGTTTGAAGCGTTTTTATGGCTCTTTCTGTGCATCCCCATTGAAACCACAGCGGGAGTCCCGCAGTACCCAACTAATCGTCATTCCAATCATTTTCCCCACTGACTAATAACATCTGAAACCCATCTGGAATCTAATGCGGAATATTATAGATAATGAAACAAATGAAATATTTGCCGGTCCAAAGATAATTTATTAATTGTTTAATTCAGTGCAATAAACTTGGCAAATCAATCATCCGAATGTTGTCCAGACATTGGTTTAAGACGATAAGACAGCCAGAACCCAAGGGAATTGATTGATTAGCCAAGAAAAATTCCTATGTGAAAATTCAAATCCATTCAATGCTGATTTCACTCATTTATGCATTGCCTTTCATGGGCTAACATTTCACAACAAAAACAATCCCTGACTCATCCAACTCACAGCCATTTCCCCCATGAGAACATCAACTCTTCTGGTTATGGGCTAGTCCCTTATCTTTATTGTCCTCTATTCGGAATTCCCATAGCTATTCTTATCGCAGGAGTGGGCTCTGATAAGTCCAGCGAGGCACTCGAAATAATATTTTTGATTCATATAAATGGTAAGTCAAGGCTGACGGAACTTCAGTACGAGTTTGTCGTTAGCCAAGTTAAGATGTCGCCGCCACCGCACCACGATCATTGCCACCATCCGCCACACCACCATGGACCGCCGCACCATGGACCGCCGCACCATGGGCCACCATGCCACGGACCTCCGCACCACGGACCACCGCACCACGGACCACCGCACCACGGACCTCCGCACCACGGACCTCCGCACCACGGACCACCCTGCCATGGACCCCCACATCATCACGGCCCACCCATGCATCCTCGTTAGGATATAAAGGCATACCTTTAGTTTATAAGCAAACAAAAATCTTAATAAAACAAATTTACTGATTTACACCAGACTGAGGATTACACATTTTATAGTACCTGGGATATGCCTATAAAGTGCCGCTAAAGTGAAATATTATCCAGCCCAAAATGCAGATTACAAATAGGCTTTTCTCCATCAGTTACAGCGAATTAGAAACTGATTGATCGTTTTGGATATCGATAGCTGATATCGTGACGATCACTTCGAGGACATTTTGATCGATATTTACCACATAATTGTTAAATATTATTTAAATAAAGCCCAAATTGCTTGAATTCAATCTTATTTTTAAAACAATAATTTCATTTAATTTTGAATTTATTTCATTTTTTCCACCACTAACAAAACATTCAATTGCTGTTTGAGCAAGTGTTTGGTATTAGATTTGATCTAACATTTGTTTTTAGATTTATTCCTTAGCGTGCCCATGGTGTGGTGGTCCGTGGTGTGGTGGATGATGTGGTGGCTCATGGTGAATTGGATGCACCGGCGTCTGGTGTGGTGGTCCGTGGTGTGGTGGATGATGTGGTGGCTCATGGTGAATTGGATGCACCGGCGTCTGGTGGGTTGGTCCGTGGTGCGGCTGTGGTGGAGGTGGCGACATCTTAGCTGGGGTAAATTCACTTCAACACTGAAGTTCATGGCTAGAGGACAACCTTTATATGGGAAAAGTGGGTTAATTTTTATCAGCTTTATGTGCAGATAAGGCGCCTCCACGATCGATTCATATCGGAATTTCCCAGCCCAAATGACAAATCCAAACACTAACTAAGGTTGCGGCTGGGTTTTGGATTTTCTTTCATTATAATTCGTGTGATTTTGTGTCACAAACTTCAAATTTCCTGTTGAAAAATGCTGCAAAATAGCTTACTTTTGAGCACGCTGCATGCTGTGGAGCAGGTGGAAATATCCTTTGAGCAGACACTGCGCACAATCGGCGAGATTAATCATCGCTATGAGGTGGTGTCCAGCCTCAAGCAGCGCGGCGCCAAGGGTCAGGATACGTATGAGCGGGAGATCCAAGCAGCCATCACAGAGCCAACCTACACGAAGATCTTCACCAAGAAGTGGAAAAGGAAGAAGGCAACTCCAGTGAAGAGAGTCCAAAAGAGGAGCACAATCAGCGCCAGTAGCTTGCAGCATTGTGGAGAGGAAGCTGCGGCTGATCCAGAGGACACCCCTGCTGCTCCTGCCCAACGGCCTGAACCATTTATGTGCCTGCAAACCAATTGCCAGTTCTATCACATCGAATGTCAGAGCAATATTCGGGGGCCCACAAAAACCTACAAGCAGCGCATTGAGCGACTGCATCGTGCGGCGCAGCAGCAACTGGACAAGCAGTGCAAGTCCTTCAGCAATGCCTGTGGCAATCCTCAGATCGAGCAGCAGGACGAAGATGACAATTGTGCGACTTGCTGCAGCTATTGCTGTGGGTCTTGCTGTTGCAAATGTTAACGTGAGAGTTTCTGGGAGTAAAATTTCAGTTGTATTTTGTTGCATATTCTTAGGCAGTTTTTGTAGAAACTTTCATTAAAGCCTCCCAAGAAATTGGCAAATATTCCTGTGCCCGTGCCAGAGATTGCAACCGAAAAGACTTGGCTTGACTCTGGAGGCCTTAATGACACATTAGAGAGCATCGGCAGCTGCGGTTCACCGAGTTCTCAACAAAAATTGAGTCAACTGATGAGTGGATAATTCTTTCCTGCAAGCCAAACCAAGTGAAAATGAAATTCATTCCACTTAAACTGCTCTCTTTGTCGCCGCGTAAATTCGTTTAATTTTATGCTTTCCATCGTAATTTTCAATAACTAGCCGCAGCATCGATTACCAGTGGCAATTACAGGAGCAGCAAGGACTCCCTTTAGGAGCAGCAGAAAAAAAAAAGAAACAAAGCCCAGCATTTGCTTTATTTACGAGACGCATTTTGTATGGGGAGCAAACTTAAACGCTAATGGCATAAACATCCGCTACGTGAGCGAAATGTTTAAAAACCGCTTCAAACGCAGGACGCAGGACGCAGGACAAACAGCAGAGGACAACGAGGTTTACCCAAGCATCGCGTCGGATGGGATGGCTTTCAGCGACTGTAATGTAGCCGCCCCAAATCAAATCTCAAATCATGCACGTTCCCCGAACAAAGCAGAGAATGGAGGGCAAAGGGAATTGAAAAGCGCCAGCAACAGACCACCAACAGGAAAGAGCCCAATGCTGAAGGCTGAACTCGGAAGGTTTCGGGCAGGGCAGCATTCCAGCTCCTGCTGCACTCGGGCCAAAAATTGTTTGAAAATTCAATTCACACATTTGCCAGTTGTCGATGATTTTCTGTGATTTTGACTGGCGTTCCGTGTGTCTTCTACTCTCCTTCTCCTTCTCTACGCTTCGCTTCTTGCTGGCTCATCCTCGGGCCTACCATTTTGAGGTTTTTCGCTTTTGCCTCTGCCGCTGCCGCTGCCACTGCTTCTGCTGCTGCCTCTCTCGCTGCCTTTAGCTCTGCCGCTGCTTCTGCCGCTGCCGCTGCCTTTGGCTTTGCCTTTGCCTCTCCCGCTGTCTTTGCTTCCGCATCTGCCTTTGGCTTTACCGTTGCCGTTGCCGTTGCCGCTGCCCTTGCCTTTGCCTTTCCTTTTCTTCTTATTTTTGGTTTTTCCAGCAAATAAGTGGAAAATCGCTACGAATTGTTACAGTGTCAGTCCGAAGTTTGTGTGTGGAGTGCTCCCAGGCACGTGCATATCGAATGCTCTCGTCTGGCTGTCTCTCTGGTATCCATTGCAGAGCAGCAGCAGCAGCAGCAGCTTCAGCTCTTGCTCCTCCCCTTTGCCCACGTTCTGGCATGTGTTTGAAATCTGAGCCAAAGCTTTTGAATCTTTTTTTTGGCGGACTCTTTGCCTGGCTCTTTCTCTATTTTGTATGCAAAGAGTTGTTCAGAATTTAATTTATTTACTTTGCCCGCCAGTTGTTGTTGTTGTTGTGGGCCCTCCTCCGGCTGCCTGTTTATTGTCTGCAAATGAAATGCGTTCTATGTGCCGCTTGTCCTTGGATTTCTTTTTAAACGAATTACCATTTTGCCAGCTTTGATGTTGGTTTCTTTGCCTGGACTTTCCCGTCTCATTCTTTTCGGTTTGCTCGAAATTTTCGCCTCTTTTTTTTTTGGGTTAGTTTCGGCTTTGAGGCAAACTTTGCAGACCATAAAGTTTTCACTTCATGCAGTTTTAATGACTTAACGAGGAGCACAAGCAGCAGCATTCCGTTTGACATGGACGGGGGGAGCAGAGGACTGACTCTCTGGTGTGCCAGACAGGCGACGGCAGCTAATTAGCCAAACGCTCGACGATTACCAAAACGAAAATTTCACTTTTCACTTCTCTTTCCAGTTTTTTTTTTTTTTTTTTGGGCAGGAAAGTTTTTGCTCCTATGAGAATGATGTGAAGACAGGGAAATGCATGGCAATATAACAATGTGTTGGGTTTTTAGTAAACAACTTTTTAAAGTTCTGGCAATGTTTGACAATGAAATGGGAGTGGTAATATTTAGCTACGTACCTTAGTCGTAGAAAAAACCTCTTCAAAAATATAAAACATTTCTTCGCATAATTTTCGCTTGTTCTTTTTTGTTGTTTCTTCCACATGTTTGTTTCTTTGTGTGTAATTTATTAAATGTAGCTTTAATTTAGACAAATAAATTAAGAATTAATGATATAATAACTATGGTCAACATATGCGAGTATGTAAACATGTAGCTAAGGACCGGTTTGGTGAGGGGGGGTGACAAAGGGTTATACAAAAAGTTCCTGTAAAAAAATGCGCAAAAATGTATTGAACACAAACAAGCAAAAAAAGGGGAGAGAGAGCGACTGATTCGGTGTGTGTGGGAGTGGTGTGTGCATGGTGTGTGTGTGTGTGTATGGTATGACTAAGCCCAGTCACGTTCCTTTCAAACTGGGGATGGATGAGTGTGTGTGTGTGTTGAGTCATGGCTCATGGCTGCGTGCATCAACGATTCCCTTCATAACATGTCCCGCAGCACCTCCTTCTGGGCGGCAGTCAATTTCTCGGGAAACTGTATATCGAACGCCACAAGCAGATCACCTTTTCGGGTGGTATCCTTGGGGAAGGGCAAACCGTAGCCTTGAATACGCTTCACCGTATTCGGTTTGATGATCTCCTGCATGGTGCTGATGCGCAACTTGTCGCCGGACATGGTAGGAACTTGGAAGACAACGCCGCAGAGTGCCTGCAAAAAAAAAAAAAAATTATTTTTGTATTTATTTTTGCACTTGGCTTATCAATCAAAATGGGCTCCGAACAATAACCACAACAACTCAATTTCTAAGCTAAGCAAACACAAACACATGAGTCCCATTGTGTTGCAGAAGAGAAATCTATCAATCTTTTCCTTTTGGTAATCCTGTTTATGTTCTTAGCTGCCCTTTTTTTGCCCTACTCCTTACTATTTCTGTGTGTTTCTTATGCTGCTCCTTTCTTGGTCCTCGCTCTGTGTTTGCCTTTCGAATCGAACATAACATTTGTAAATCCTTTTTTATGTTGCCTAATTCGTGTTTAAACATGTTGTTGACACGCTTCTATGCTTCTCTGATGTCCATTCCTCTTCCCTCTTCCCTCTCCCCTTTCTTTGTTTGCTTTCCCTTTCTTTTCCCGTTGATACGTCTGTGTTCTGTTCTGTTCGTTTCGTTTGACATACGATTTGTTTAATTGGCCCACTAAAAGATGGGCATCAATCAGGGTTTGTCTGGGCCCTAGACATTGATGTGCCTTGGCTGGGGCTTACTTAATTAGAACCGAAACTTTATCCCATTCAATCTTGCTGCTCAAGGGAAATCTGTACTACCTTAAATCTGCTTTAATTAAAGTTTTCCAGACTATTTTTGGGTTCATTTACCGACATATCAGCTGGTTATTTATAGCCCGAACTTATCTTATCATCAAAGTTCGAGGGTTTGGGCTTATCGTTAAGGGTTTTGATCGAAAAACTTGTGTATATCGCAGGGTCTCAGAAAAGCTCTTTATGACGGAAGTACACAACATGTGAGCCAGTGGCAGGGATTTTCGTGGCACGTAAACAACTTTAATCATTTCACAAGTCAATTGTGTGCTTGATATTGCCAACTAGAAATGGTTACAAGTGCAAAGCAAACTAATCAAATAGAATATACAAACAAATGTAGTTGTAGCTAAAGAATTAAATCATTGATTCTACTTATAGAAAGTTCTTCATTTTATATTAAACTACTTTTTGTAATGTCCAGCAGTGAACCACCCTGCTGCAGCGCGCTCTCCAAAAAGTAACTGCGCTCAACGCATTGCAAAAGCATAACCCAGAGACAATCCGCTACCTGCGACTCAACTACAACTTGTCTCTTTCTAACCCACGCTTAACGCTGCATGCGTACACGCGCAGCTCGCGCTCTCACTCATAAGCTCAGTTCTTTGATCCTCTCTGAGCATTGCACGCTCTCTCACAAGCAAGGCAATAGGCAAATGACCGAAATAACGGTAAATAAAACTAGGAGATGAGACACAAATGAAGGAGAGAAATACGCAGGTAGCGAAAGTTTGCAGCAGGCACGCTACTGAGAATGCAATCAAGATCCGAACCACATACATTTTTAAATTGATTCTACAGACAAAGTTCCTTCTGTGTTTTGTGTCCAAAAAAGGTTCAGCTTACCCACTGTACTGTATAAATTTACTATGCAAAGCAGCGCTCTTAAGTGGATAGACATATTGCATCGGAGGTATTCGTAAGATTGATTTGCCATCTTGACTTGGGATCGAAGTGTTTGACTACCATTTCGACTTGCCTTGTTAGCATATTCTTCAGCATTGCCTGTGTATAACAATTCATTTCCCTATCGAGAAACCCTTGAAATGACAGATTATCATGCGTAATCCTTTTGGGTCACCGAACCCCAGTAGACAATCATTTTTCACATATTCCAACTAGATACCATAAATAAGCCAAAACAACTTGGATGTCAATCCGCACCGCATCAATGATTTATGTACTGAAAAAAGGGTTTGAAATCTCCAGCCAAACCCATAGAAGACTATCGGGAATGGGGAACTGTGTGATATAATAATATTTTATGCCAATCCATAAATTGTCACAAGTGATTTGTAACCCAAGAACTTGACCGAACACTTGTTAAATAGTTGTCAATTGTGCTGTCGGGCCTCACCCAATAAAATAAGAAGTTAAACAACGCCAAAAAGTGAAATATTCCAAACCAAAGTGCACACCTTATGAATATTTAAATATGCGAGTACATATGTCGGGGGGGGAGGTTCGAGCATTGCTGAATGGCGAGTTTAAGGCGATGACAACATAAACTGATGACGACAGACCCCAACAACACAACCCGTCCCATGCCCATGATGACAATGACGACGACTGTGTGGATGTGGTCGACCAGCATCAATATTTTTTTAATGGAAATGTTGAAAATGTTGTCCCCAACTAAAGCGACCAAAACGCAAAAAAAAACTCAAAATATATAGCCACGTATGTTCGCATATAAAAATCTGTAACGCTTAAATACTTTGCTACCTTTTACGGCAAGCTGAAGCATACAAAATTCTCCTCACAATCCAAAAAGCAAGAGAGAACAGCGGGAAAACAGAGGGAACGCAAAATATAAAGGGAATAAAAACGTGAATGGCGCTACGATAAAATTTAGCGACCACTTCTCAGCGGCGATCAGGTATGGCCAAGGCACAAGGCCTGAAATAAAACTAGAAATCGGGATTTGGAAGCCGATGCTGGGATGCTCTTTGAGATTAGAGAGAATGTTATTTAAAGCTTGAAAAGCGGTAAATGTGTTTGGTTTTGGGTTGAAGGTTTAGGTGTAATAAACATTCAAAACAAAATACAATTCTTATAGAGAAAATCACAGAAAACACCTCCAACTCAGCGTCACAAAACCCTCATCAAAACTTGAACACCCGCTGATAGGATGCAACAAAAATGGCAGCCCATTTACAAAGCTGGCATATCTAAAAAACAAAACAAAAAGGCAGATGTAAATCAAGCTATAGATGATAAATTTGAATGTCAGCTTCAGCTTTTTAATGGCAAGTTTCAGTGCAGGCAGCAAACATAAATTCCCGCCCATAGATTTATCCCGCAGTTTTCCGCACATTCCCGCATTCATTGCGAACGCAGCACTAGACAATTACTCTCACTGAAAGAACTCAGAACTCAGGCAAAAAGGGCTGGCTGGCTGGCTGGCTGGCTGGCTGGCTGGATGGTGAAAACAAATCAACAACATTCAATCGCATGTCATAAAGCATTATTCTTTTATTTTGCTTCTTTTTTCCCCGACTGAAGCTCGCCTCATCCTTCTGCTGACAACTGTCATCAAAATGCAAACGAAGTTTTGGACTATGGAGTTGGAGTTTTTTCCAGCTTCTTTTTTTCTAAAAAAAAATAGGGGACTTTCCCACACTCGAAGCAAATCATTTTGTAGTACTCGGTACCAATCGAATGACAATGCCATTCGGGCAGGACAGGCAGACAGGGATAACAACAGGAGAAATGCTGCGGCGTCTGGCCATCAGTTACAAGCGAGCTTTTGAGAACCAGAACTGAATCCCAATACCCAGTCCAGTGCCCAGTCTAGTTTGCTGTCCAGTCTGTTGAGGACTCGTCCTGCTTGTACATCCTTGAATTGTTCATCAATTTTAGTTTTGCTGCCACTGCGGAATTCCTGACGCAGGCACTTGAAAACAAAAGCATTGTTAAATTGAATTTCCATTTCTAAAATATGTGCAGTGAAAGCGGCCCTGGGGTGGCAGAGTCTACGCTTCGGGACTTGGAAATGTAAATATGTCTTGAAACGATCCATTGGAAATCCTTTTTGAGGTACAGTAACATTCAGCATACTTTCTGCTCTTTAAAGTCTGATAAACTGTTTCGAAGCATTAAAATCCAAGAGGATTACTATCATTTATTTATTCCTATTGTTCTGCTTCCATCACTGCCATTATTTAAATCCCTTCAACGTCCCAACGCAGATCTCAATCAAAAGACAGAAAATTAATTCGAAACTCATTGACTTGAAATTGTATCGTAAACGATGATGTAATTTATGGGTCGTATTACTCGTAAATTTAATGCAGCCGCGACAACAGGCAGGCTACAGCAACGACAACAAATTATGACTGGAAAAAATTGAATTTTTGTTGGCAATTATGTGGATGAACCATATATGGCGGAGGCTACAATTGCCATATGGCGGCGGCTTTTAAGAGAGAGATTCTACGAGCGACAGTCACGCGGCTGTTTAATAATGATTTATTTGAGGCACTGCAGAGTGTGTAAGCCTTCCGCTACCTGCGTTTCATCTTCTAGCTTGATTAACCGTTATTAGGGTCATTTGCCTGTTCCATTGCTGCACTTCTGCTTGTGAGAGAGAGTGTGTGAAAGCTGAGAGAGGGTCCACGCTCAGAGAGGATCGAAGAACTGTGCTAATGAGAGCGAGAGCGCGTTGCGCTTGAACCCCTGCAACTATGCGCGTGGGTTAGAAAGGGAAAGAGACAAATGGCAAACTGCACCACACGTGTGTTTTTGTTATGCTTCTCGGAGAGTTAAGCACAGCACGCTGTGGAGTAGCAATTCACCGTTTTACGTATGTCAATATTATAACTGAAAAGAGGAGCACCAAAAGAATTACAGCGACATGAATTACCTCTAACCAACTCAACATTGTTCATTCTCACACTTCAAACTCATTCCCAGAGCAACAATCTCTCTAAGCTACCCAAATAATTATGACAACAAACCTAAACTAAAAACCGTGTCAAATATTTCTATATAGAAACAGCAACATGACACTTTAAGCTCGAAAAAACACGAAACCCGCGGAACCAAAATTGGAATTCATAAATTTTAAAAATACTTTGCCATAGCGAGCGAGAAGCCCAAAAATATTTACTAAATTTGTCGCACTAACAAGCAATAAAATGTTAGAAATCTACGCACTGAAACCGAGTTGCAACTATTTAATCTACTTAATGCAATTAACAATTTTAACATCACTACAAACTTCGTGGCGTGTCATTTGGGTTTCTGTTCGTTTTGGAGTATTTCAAAATTTCAATTTTGAGATATACGTTTTTCCTTATTTAGAATCTGTCCATAT